GTCATGAAAGAAGTGCGTCTTGCGAAAATATGACAAGAGATCAAAATATGACATGATTACGATTAAACTTTTATAAACTTTTTACATTAATTAAGAAGTTTACCATTAAGAAGTTTTATCGTCGTCAGAAGACACAGGTGCATAATTTATAATTAAAGGTACAACATACATACACACACTATTTTACAATATATTATGTGAATAAAAATTCATTGAATTAACAAAAATTATATGCTCACATTAATTATATATTAGTATAATAAACAATAATTGTAGATGCAAATAGTAAATAAATGCTTAATCTATAGGTACATATATATATAATATTTTTAATTAAAATAAAGATTAAATGTAAATATATAATGACATAACATATTTTACAAATAAATAAAATATTAGAATCAATTTTCTAATAGAATTGCTATTAATCTAATAGAAATGCTATTGAAAAATGCTTTTAAAATAGAAAGTATATTTCCACAGAGAATTTCAGGAAAAAACAACAATTTCTCTCTCTCTCTTTTAAGGTATTAGAACCACAACTATTGATCCATTTATCAACAGATTCTTTTCTAGCATCAAAGATAACTTAACTAATGAGAAAAACTACATAATGGTTAATCTGCTGAATTACATGTGCAAATAATTGCATAAGTTGACGTCTAACTAGTACAAACATACGTACTATTAAACTAATTTTTAATATATATATATTTTTCTCATTTTGTTTAATCTACTTGAATATAATTATGAGCGCAAAGCAAAGTTATATTTATTCTTTGATAATAAAATCTTAAAAATTGCAACGCATGCATAAAATTATTATCGCAATCAGTGTATAAAAAAATTAATTAATTAATTAATTATGTAATACATAAAATTCACTATTTAAATCTTCAACAAAAAATGCGAACAAAAATAAAATTTTCTACAAAAATCTTTTAATTAAAATATTTACGCTTTTATTATAGATTCACGCGTCTCCATACGTTTGCTGCCCGGCTCGCGCGAAACTGGTCATGTGACCATCAGTCACATGACCAGTCGCAATCGCGATATCTCGCACGGTCACACAAGAATCAGTTTCGCGTGAGACGCGCAGCGTAATAGACGTGGGGAGTGTACTAATCTAACGGAAAGAATAGAAAGAAAGAGATGTATTCGTCGGTCCTATTCTCTCTTAGCTGTGAAGTTAGGTTTCGCCATTAGTTGGCGGCACCGCTGCGCAGAGTCTTGTGGTCGGTGGTGGGGATCAGTTTTGTGCGAGAAGTGCAACGTGGTGGACGTGTGGAACGCACACGTCAAAGAACAGAAAGAGAGAGGATTTCAGCGGGAAAGTTTCCCGGGTTTCACCGTCAGATGGCGACACCATTACTGTTCAGAGTTTGCAGCGGCTTGCGGTCAGCTGTCAGCTTCGCGCGAAACGTGCAGCGTGATGGATGTGTGCAGACGAATCTCATGGAAGCACAGGTATTTTAATCAAAAGATTCTTATAGAAAATTCTATTTTTTTGTTCTCTGTTAAAGATTTAAATATTGAATTTTTATGCATTACATAATTAATTAAGATATTTTTATGCATGCATTGCAATAATAATTTTTATGCATGCGTTACAATTTTTAAGATTTTATATATATATATAAATATATATAATATTCTAATCTATATATATATATATAATTATATTATAAAAATATTCTAATTAACATAATAGAAATGATAAATTATATATGCAGATTAAACTTTGCTGAACTAGTAGTTTAATCAAAATTTGTTTTCAATTATGAAACAACCGAAGAATCGTTAACAACAAACTGATTGCATCAGATCATAGTTTGCAATGTTATTAAACTATTTGAATAGAGTAAAATAATACCGGCAAATGATATTGCATAGAAATTTCGAGGGATTGTTTATCTCGAAGTTAGGAGATATGCGCTTGTTGTTGATTTATTTACTGATCTAAACTACTACATTTGCTCAAAATGCATGTCTCTTGCTCTCAAACGATAACTTTATAGGAATGATTAACAAGCAGGTAAGCAAACAATTTGATCTGGACGAGAGATTCCATATCACTTTCACGTAAATTCAATCCAACTTTGTGCTCTACACTTCATCTCCGTTTCAATGGCTATCAGAGAGACGAACAGTAGAATTACACGAGCACGATCCAAAAGCGATCAGATAGAATATCAAGTAGTATGCGGGATATTAGAAGTGTCTATATAGGAAATCTCGCTTAGGGAGTATTAGATTTTGATGACAAATTTTTTGACCAAGTTGTGGAATCAATTTCTGTACAGAGAAAGAATATATAAAAAAATTATTTTTCCTAAAATTTTAACATATCAGTTTTTAATATGTGTATATGTAACACATTTTTTAATTAGAAATTTACTATCTTCACAAGATACAATAAAATGAAAACGAAAGAATTTTATATTGTATATTTTTTATATAATATCGTTAAATTTTTAATTTGTCAAAACTTCTAAAATTTTAATTAATTGCAATTTTAAATATTAACAAGATCGAAAAAAAATATTTAAATATTAATATTTAAATATTAAATAATTAATATTTAATTATAATTAATATTTAAATATTAATATTGTAACATATTTAATAATTTTTATACTTAATAATATTATAACAATAGATAACAAATAACACATTAAAAGTATTGAATGCAAATGATAACTAAATGTTTTGAGCTTCAATATGTCACATTAGCATATTAATTAATGTGACGAGATCATACTGAGATGATATCATTGTGATAATAATAGCCAATTGAGAAAAATTATAATGCGAAAGTATTCGATTACAAGTTTCTATCAATAAAATGTTGACATTTTAATAATAATATCATAATAATGTTATTTTAGTAATAATGTCGTAATGTTATTTTAATAATAATGATGTAATCTTTCATAGTTAATTGATTCTTAATCATCTTAAGAATTAAATTAACTTTGTAATGTCATAGCATTATCGTTGAATTGCCTTCAAATAAAAATCGTTAATAACAGTTGATGTTACACATCAATTTAGTATAACAATTTTTCTGAACATCCGAAGTTATCATCAAACTACGTATTAGATAAATATGCAAATGATTTGCACATTATTTGTCAAATTTGAATTATTTCTTGCAACAGACTTGCAGTAAAACAATCGACATCAATTATGGTTACTCTATTTTCGCTTATATAGATTTTACCAGTATTTTCTTTTCTGCTGGGTTTCTTTCTGTCTCTCTTTCTCTCTCTCACACTTTTTTTCATTTGTATATTTCTAGCTTTCCACAAACTACACATGCGAGACAGGCCCGCAGAAAAAAACACAATCCAAAAAAATGTAACAATTAAATATTAAAATTTTTTTATTCTCGTTCTGCCTCCATACAGTGCCCGCGTTTCCATAAAAAAAACACACGATAGTCTAGATAAACTCCGCAACGTTTGATTATGTTAAAATTTGCTAGAATTTTGTGTAAACATGTAAAAGAAGGCTAAATTAAAAATAGTAATCTTGTTTTAATATTAGCTTTTGTATCAGCAAATCGTACTATTAGCATCTGTTTCTTTTATTTCTAGTAGTTTTTCTGAAACTTCTTAAACTTTATCAAACTTAAAATTTGAAATTTAGAGAAGTTCAAATAATGTTAAAACTTTTAAAATATAAGTTTTTAAACATTATATTTTTAAATTTATAACAAGAAAAGGATTGATATACAAAAAAATGTTGAAGTATATAACAAGTACACATTATTTGGAATATTCTATCCTCAAGATTCAATAAAAATTCATTATGAACTGATTAATATTTAGACAATTTTTAAAACATTTCTAATTTAATGCAACAAACTCATCAATGTAAAATATAAATAAATTTTATCAAATATTTGTACTTCTAAATATATAAAGATATTTAATCGTTTTTATGAGCAATATTTCATTAAGTTAATAGAATGTTATAATTTAATCGATTTGTTTGAAATTGTACATCGTTACGAAACTATTTAAAAAATAAACAGTTGCTTCGCCCACGTAATTACCGATACTTTCGTGGTAAATCTAGAATGTTTTTACAATGCTAAAACCTGTCAACAATTTACACAAAAGAGCGAAGTGTATGTATGCTAAAAAAAGTTTTACGTTGCTATTAAGTATACATCAATGATTTATGAAATATTGGGAAAACTATAGTAACAATGTAGAATCTAAAAAAAAAATAAAGATGAGTAAAATTTAACACAGAAAATTATTCTACAAAATAATTCGATAGGTATATCAAATATTGCAAAATTTATCAAAAAATTGCAGTAATCTAAAATGTTATAATCCGTAGATCACAAGAGAGATTTTATGGATTCAAAAATCGTAAAATCCGCCTACTTGAAGTAAAGATCTTAAAGTGCGACGCTTAAATCATCTCTTAAGAACCTATAAATCTAAAACCGATATCGTCTAGATGCAATATATATTTATCTTTAAGATTTAAAACTTTCTCTTCGAGATTTTAAATGATGTTAGAATTAATTAAACTTATTATTAAGTATAAAACGATGTACAACAAGTTCTTTATGATGACATTAATAGTCATTACATATATGTATATTCTTATAATTTTGAGAATTAACCACTTTTAACATTTTTTGAGCAATACATATAACTATTAATTTTTCAGTCAATTTTATCATTTTAGAATCTTGCATTATACAATATCATTTTATTACAATTATTTTAATTCTCTTATTTTAGCTTTATCTCCAAATGTCACTCTGTTTTTTAATCCTTCAATTAATTATTTACATATATCACATATGTATCCTCAATGTTAGGTTTTTATTTGATCCATTATATGTGCAAAATATATATGATCCAGACTAAAGCTCCGATAATTTTTGACATTGTTAAAAGGTAAAAATTATTTATTTAAAATATAAAAAATGATTTACATTTACAACAAGTGAAAGAGAAATAATGTCTGACCTTTGCTGGTGAGACTAAAGCTGCGGAGTCTGTAACTATCCTCATCTTCACCTTCTTCTCGCGGTGGCATCTGAGATGAGACGTCGGGCACGTCCAGGAAGGCGTTGCTCTTCCTCTGATGCGTATGATGCATACTCTGTCCCCTCCGACTCCCTCGTCTTCTAATCCCCGGACTGACGTCATTCTCGGTTAGTCTGGGTTCGCTACTGCAGTGGGCCGACTTCATACCTCCTTCATGATGATGATGGTGATGATGATGATGGGCGGCAGCTGAAATCGACACAAGCAGGATATCACATATGCATTCATCCGGATATCGGATGCATGACGTACATGCTTTACCGCAAAAATCTGCAATATCTTTAGCAATTGTAATGACGACATTATACACTGTATGCGAGCAATATATATATATACATACACAGAAAAAACAGTATCCTTGAGAGAATGCAAATATGCTTTGATTCAAGTATATTTTATCCTTATAATAGCACCAAATATAAATAATTTTGGATAAGGATAATTTATCCTTAAAACAAAGTGCAAAATATTCTTGGTTGAAGCTGAAATTTACTTGTAAATATTGCAAGGACAAGTGACAAGTGTGCATCGGATATAAGCGGTACTTTCAAATAAATATAATAATTCTTAGTTTAAATATGACTAAGTTTGTTTTTACCATATGCGATTTTTAAAACAAGAATATATCTTAAGGATAAAATATACTTTACACAAACTTATTTATTATTAAAGCAAATAAAAATTTGTGATTACAAAGAGCATTCTATGCTTAAATCAATCAAATAGCGTTCAAGAATAAAATATACTTAAATCAAGGATTCCTTTTTTTCTGTGTATAATCAAAGTATAATATCAATATTAATTAATGTTAGTCGCTTGGTTTATTTCAATTATATTAATAGATCAAATTGATTAGTCGCAAATTAATTACGCTAGAATTTTTTTTTTGCAATATAAGTATACTAAAACATAATTACTGATAAAAAATGTTGAATTAAAATAAATATATAATATTGTGCCACGGTTTAATTTAAAAATAATTTAAATATACTCCAAATTTTTAATGATACTATTAATTTTAGATTATTTGCTTTTAAACATTATTTGCATGTACATGTAGTTTATGTAAAAGTAAAAATAATAATATATTTATATAGTAAATATTAACTTTTATCTTTTTGTGAAGAATTCTTACAAAAACTTATTTTAATTCTTAAAAATTTATTTTGATATTCTGCAATACAATGCTGCACAAATATGTATATAGATTTTGTAATAGAGAAAATAGCGAGTTGTTTAAAGTAGTTGATAAAACTATTTAAAAAAATTCTTGTTAATCAATGAAACAAAGAACGAATGTTTTTTCTCAATTGCGTGCCAATCGAACTTTTTTCAACAAACGCTCGAGAGTAAAGCAAAGAACCGAGCACATTTTTCAAAGGTACTACACCTATTACATCGCAAAGCTAGCAAGTGGAAAGCCGAGTGATTTAGTACAGCCTAAAGAGAGTCAGGAAATGAAATTAAACGACGCGAAAAGAGAGAAAGAGGAGCAAATTCAGATCGCGGAACACGTTTTCGAATATCTGCTTCATTTAATCGCAAAGTTTATTGAGCAGATAAATTCCCCATTTTACTAGATATCCAAGGAACTAGAATCTCTCTGAATTAATGTTTGCTATATGCGCGATTAAAAATATCCTTTGAACTCAAATTAAATTTTAATTAAATTTTATGACATAAAACATAAATAATTAAACATTATAATTATAATAATTAAATTTAGTCTAAAAATCTAATATTTGTAATAATAAAAATATATGAAACGTGCAAGAGAGATAAAAAAATTATATAAAAATATATATTATATTAAAATTTACAATTTTACAAACAATGGCAAAGAATTTAATTATTAATTTTTGCAATGTGCCCGCTATCTCAAATAATAATTCATATTTGATTTATAAAATAAAATATATAATTAAAAGTTAGTAGTAACATTTGGGATAATTTTAAATACTTTCTTGTGAAAAATATCGGTGCATATTCTAACTATTTCTTAAAATAGTAAAAAGAATAAAAATATGATTTTAATTAAAAACTGTTGCTCTCTTAATAGGGCATTTTTGTATGTAGCGTAAATATATATAGTGTCTGCTAATTTTCAAAACATATTACTATTTAAAAATTGCAGTTGTTTGTCCATTAAGTAAAATTTGTCTTTTGTTTTATATCTGTATGCAAATAATACTGTTTTATTTAAATTGTTCTTGTTTTTTGTTAACATATATCTCTAAAATATATATATAGGAAAACGAAAATATCCTACAGCAACGCGCACTTAACTAGTTTCTAAATTTGCAAAGACGCCACAGTACGATGAAACGTATTCGGACTGTCAGTGACCTACTAGCCAAATCCAAGTACGAGAATAGTCACAATGATTTGAAGAATTCACGTGGGACTAAAGCACGTTACCGGTAATATCATAAGCACACCAGAGTACACTTTGCTCTTTCGCCAAAAGGGTCTGTACGTCATCGATGACCCCGGATTTATCGGTCATCGTCAAAGTCACGCCCAGTTACCGCGCCGTGTAACTCGTGTAAAATAGATTTCATATACCTCGCGATTTAATCTCGATTATTATTTGTATCTTGATTATATAGCAAAAAGTTGAACACGCGAAACGGTTGTTTGACAACTCAAGCTGTGTATCTCATTACAAAGCGATAAATAAGCTATTGATAGACAGAATCGATTAATTTTTAGGTTCCATTAAAAATAAAACAACAAGAATCGCTTATTTATCAATCATGAACAAAATAATCGTTTACATTAATTTTGAAGTTTTGAATTTGTTTTAAATTTAACTTTTCTAAGAATTCTAAATTTTAATTAGTGGCAAAATCTCACGCAACGTTATTTTATTTCTCATTTCTCCCGTGACTATCGTTACCTTGAGCAGCGGCACGTCGACGGACGCTTTTATTTCCGCCGGAAACACGGGCGCTCTGGGATCTTGTAGCTGGCCTTCGTCTTCTCGTGGGTGTACTGCTATCCGGAGTTCCACTGCCGCTGTCCCTTTCTCGTTCCCCTTTCTCTGTCTCGAGCTCCCGAGGGTGGTACAGCCTCTAACATTTGCTCCATACTCGAAAATCCCGGAGCACAAATCGAAGCCGATCTAGTCTTCCAGCGAGGTGAGTCGTCCGCCATTCTTCTTTCAATTGCCACCGCTATCCCAGTTTCTTTTCTCTTTTCAAGTCACCGATTACGATCTTAAAGTCTTGCCTTTTATCTGCCGATTTTATCTCTTTATTTGACTTTCCCGAAATAATTTTCTTCTTTTCTCACGAGACTTCGAATTTCTTCGCTAAATATCGTTCTCATATTTCACTTATTGATCACAAAATATTATGGTTTATATTGTTCAATTTATACCGACCTATCTTCTTATTTGGAGATACGAACATTTGCGGATGCTTTTATTTGCACAGTTTCTTCGAAGTTCTCAAAGTATTGCACGTGTGATGTTCGGAATGTCTCTCTGAGTCGCGGAATATCCGTTTGATTATCGGCAAAGGTTCCAAGTATATATTTGGAGAAAGATATCTTCGTACGAATTGCGTGAAAATGGCACACGTCACATCGACGTGTCTTGTTTCAAAGAAAGCGTACTTTTGCTTCTACAAATAAAATATAGGAAGAATATAAGAAGTCTTGACCCTTTTTTCTCCTTAAAACAAAGGCCACGTATTCGCGAATGGAGCTGAAATTTAGTAATTACGGCCGCGGCAAATAATGCCTGGTGAAATGCTCGGCGCGTTTATGTTTCCTTTTTTAATTCCGTCGGTACTTCCACATTTGCGTGTTAATTAGACCATAGGATTATTTCGCGTGTCACATATAAACGTGCATTTTCTTTTAAGATTTGAATTTATTTCATTATAAAAGAAATTCATTATTAAATAATTTTCTAGTGTTTTTTTTTTCAAAATATGTAAAAAAATAATTTCGAAAATACAGTTTTATATCGTATGACATAAACTAAATTATTTCTAATTTTACGTGAATTATGTATACGTATAACAACAAATTGGTTGATATAAACTGTAACTAACAGATATTAAAATCTTAAAAATTTATTTTGATATTCTGCATACAATGCTGCACAAATATGTATATAGATTTTGTAATAGAGAAAATAGCGAGTTGTTTAAAAGTAGTTGATAAACTATTTAAAAAAATTCTTGTTAATTAATAAACAAGAACGAATGTTTTTCTCATTGCGTGCCAATCGAACTTTTTTCAACAAACGCTCGAGAGTAAAGCAAGAACGAGCAACATTTTTCAAAGGTACTACTATTACATCGCAAGCTAGCAAAGTGGAAAGCCGAGTGATTTAGGTACAGCCTAAGAGAGTCACGACGCGATTCAGATCGCGGAACACGTTTTCGAATATCTGCTTCATAATCGCAAAGTTTATTGAGCAGATAAATTCCCATTTTACTAGATATCCAAGGAACTAGAATCTCTCTAGTTAATGTTTGCTATATGCGCGATTAAAAATATCCTTTGAACTCAAAATTCGGACATAAACATAATATTAAACATTATAATTATAATAATTAATTTAGTCTAAAAATCTAATATTTGTAATAATAAAATATATGAAACGTGCAAGAGAGATAAAAAAATTATATTAAAAATATATTATTGTAGGTGGTGTCAGGATAGTTTTAGATGATGTCAGGGCGTAATTCTAATAAGGCTTCTAGTGGATCTTAACAAAGGATCTTTATTAGGTTAAACTATACTCGATAGGACACGCACGACGGCTCGCACTCTGCGAGGAACTGACCTCTTAACCTTCTCCCTTCTTTCTTACGCAGCGTCGCCAGCGGTAGAGGGGAGAGGAAACGCAATTCGCCGCTCACGCGTATATATAAATGAATATCGGTAGAATAATAATTCGCCTACAGTCGGCCAGCCTGACATTACGACCGTCTCGGTCGTACGTATAGGAACAAAACGTATTAAGTAAATATAGCACTTTACTTTCTCTCTCATTTGTGGGAACCAGTAAATTTGCCTAATGTTAGCAATAACTTTATCGAGGCCGACATGGCCAATGTCATCATGACACGTACGGATTACATTACTTTCCATTGATATCGGTACATAAAATAAGAGTTTTTTACCCTTATCTTTACGGTAAACAAGACCGTCTCGCAATTCAAAGAATTTAT